AACCTTCGCCTTCCTCAGTATAGCGAATGAGCCCAATATCGATTACTGTGCTGCTAAGTCTGTGGTATTCGTACAGAACTTAAGTGCAGGTAGTGCGCTTATTGTTATTGTCCTAGGGTCGTAGTATTGGTTGCTCTAGCTCGAGTTCCCTTGTTGTGTTGTTCTTAGAGTTCATCAACCGATACCCCGACACCTTTTTGGTAGCAGCTCCTTGTTACGAACGATTACAACTACGAGATGGTTGGTTCAGCTTCTGGTTCTACCCCCACTCCGTCCCGAGCGGAGGGGGAGGGCCCTCGGGCCCCCTTGGTGCGTCGTGATCCTGAGGAGGCAGCTGAGGAGGCCTATGACGAGTTCATTCGTGCTGAGTTGGGTGAGGCAGCGGTTAAGCAGGCGGCCGAGATGGCGAGGCGTTCAGTGGAAGAGTATAACCGCGTGTTAGAAGAAAGGTCACCCTCTCAAGCGGCCCCAACACTGAAGCATCAAAGTATGGTTACTGAGTCGGCTGAGGACAACAAGCAGGCCGAGTTATCACGGACGAGAGGCATGTTGGCGCCTCTCCTCACTGGTCAGACGTTGCAAGTGGTGACCGCCCAGATGCCGGAAAGATATGATGGAGTCTCCGACCTAAGGATCTGGTTCCGAAGGTTCGAGGCATACACCGGCATACGAGTCCCGCTCTCGCCGAGACTCGGTTCCCTCCCGCTTCCCGCGAGGGAAGCGGGAGAGAAAATTTTTCAGAAACGCGGGACGGGATTAGAGCGAGAATCCCGTTTTCCCGCTATCTTCCCGCTCTTCTCTCACAGCGGAGCTGTCAAGCCGCCTACATCAACTTCGAAGGATGCCTCTCAGTCGCATCAATAAATTTTGCATAGTGCTCTTTCTAAGAGCTCTAGAAGGGGAGGGAGAATATCTCCCCTCTCCAGTTATATGACTCGAAGCGTGTGATTCCTTGCTGACACGATCCATTCAGGGTTCACACTGTCAGAGGCTTAGCTTCGCGTGAAGTGGACAAGCAATCGATCATCACGGCGAACGCTGTTTGCAAGATGCACGCATGAAACCGCAGCGGTTACTGGCTTCACAAGTATAATACATTCAGCGAACCGGATCCACTACATGAGCAGACTTGGTGGCGGCGAGTCACCGACGATTGTGTTCTTTACTCTAGACATTTCGAGACAGATGCTTCAGAGCTCAATTCACTTTGCCAGTTAATGCAGTCACAACCCAATTCTACCATGTCCTCATCAGCTGCCAGTAATTGTACCTCTCTCAGAGAGAGACAGTCTCTCTCTCCTGCTCCATGCATCCAGAGACTCCAGTTAGATGATGAGGACCTTCCTCCTGGGTTGCATTCTATCGAATCCTCACCCTCTGGCAGACGGAGGCCTACCACTGTTAACGACTTGTGCACTCCACTTATTAGAGATAACCCTCGGAAGACCGGTTCTGAATGTACTAGTTCTACCTTCCCGCTGAAGCGAAAGCGTGCCAATGTCCCTCGTTCTCCAGTTCGCCATCCTAAGCTCAGAGTGGGGCATGATTTGGACTTTACCCTATTCGAGGCCTTTGAAGTGGACTTGAAAGCTGAGGTGTGGCGTACTTTCCGGAAGATACGTAATCGCATCACTAGAGAGGTATATCCTCGGTGTGTCTACTGTACTCAATGTCAAAAGGTCATCAAACAAACTGACAAGAGTACAACTAATATGAGACGCCATCACTGTGTTGGAGGCGACAATGACACGCCAAGTATTGCTCCATTCTGTACGCCTTCCGTTCGACTCCGAGCCGACGAACAGGCCAAGCTGAACAATGCAGTCATAAATCTGATCGGGGCGAGTGCCATCCCATTTTCGATGGTTGAAAGACCGGAGTTTGTGGAACTACTGCAACTCGTATCCGATATGTCATTCCGATCGAAGAAGCCACTGGATATATCAGCCAGCTTGAAGAGCGAGAGGACTCTTCGTCGGTCAGCAAAAGAGCAGAGCCAGTCACGTCGTGCAAAGGTCAAACTTCATCTGAAAGAGCAACAACCACCATATCAGGTAGGCAGTGTGCTCGTCAGTAACTCATGCTACAGATTTCAAGTCATTTCCAGGGAACCGGTTCTGTACTTTAGGTCTTATTCGATGCATGGACGACACCTGCAGGACAAGAAGTGCTTGCTGTGCAGGCGGTGCTGTGGGGTTCTGAGCTCAGGGT